ACAATCCTTAGATTGTTCGTGGTCGCCACAGAAACACGCCCTTCTCATCCAGAATGACTGCATTCAGCTCCTTGTCCCCTGTACCATTTGGAGCATCTATTGATAGTGCTCGGGTATACACCAAAACGATGATAATTGTCGCGTGCCAAAAACCCTCAACGTCGAAGTCCAATGATTTAGGGACGGTGTCAGTATCAGTCAACCGCTGCAGCTACCATAGATTTTGGTGGTTGAACAAGGTAAGCATAAACAATTCTACACCACAGTACCAAAACTAGGACAGAAGAAAACAGCATCTGTGAATATCAGTTCAAATTGTTTGCTCATGCGTTGTCTCCGTAATTTTGGCGCACCCTGTAAACCATAGGCTGCCCACCAACTAGTGAGTACTATTAGTGATTCGTAATCTTAAGACCTTTGGCAAGCTCATGCTCCCGAAGTCGTTCCAGAGTCTCATTGGAGGGTACAAACCTGACCGCCGCTCGCGAACCCATGCGAAGTGCAAAAATACTCCATTTAAAATCTGAAATTCCGGACAGTTTCACAAGAATGCAGGGTTATGGCCAAAACTCTTTTTCCCGCATATCTCACAGCTAATGAATAAAAAAGTAAATCAACAAAATGGGGTTTAGAGCGAGATTGCTCGACAACTCGTCACCGCAGTCAGTGTTTCTTTGCTCTCTATATATATATGATACTGTTCACGCCTAGGCAACCATATCTAACTCTTGTGCATGTTCTGTTTCTGGACTTCAAGGCTAATATGTTTAGAGCTTCAACTATATCGGTACAATCTATGTTCCCGAGCCATAGAAATAGCACTTTGTCTCCACATTTTGGCGCATCCTGTGACTATCATACCAAAAAGGCATCATAGTAGCAGTTGATGCTCTCTACCCTTACCTGTGTCACACCTGATATCGTATTCTTGTTGTACTTGTAGTTCTATGAACGTTCTCCTTCTTCGACTTCTTCTTAACTCACACTGCCTTCGATCACAATTATATCATGACTACATTGCCAAGGAGTGACTTTTATGGAATGAGTGGCGGGTACACGCAGCATGTTAGAAGAGAAGGAAGCATGCACCATGGGATGCGCTGTGATGTGTGGTGGTTGCCTTAATGTTAGCCTGCAACTGGATGACTTGCAAGTTGTAGGCCTACCCTTGCCTGCCAACTGACCGCGTGAGACTGCGTGAATAGGTGGAATTAGAAAGGGTCTTTTGAAGAACCGAAAGCTACGTCTAGAGGATTGGGTGATAGATAGTGTGTGAATGCTACAAGCTCTTATATGAGTTCAAAATAATCTAGAAGAGAAGTTGCAGGAATGCTTTAGTAACCAACTATTGATGATACTTCAGAACAATGCTGAGTCACGTACAAAGCCTGGGATCCCAAGTGGAACTCACTTCTGTATCTCTTGCTTAGTGGGCAATTTCGCTTCCACCGCACTATCGGGCATTTCACCGTATCCCAGTTTTTTGGTATTATCCTACTAACTGTAAGTGGCTAAGTATGTCTGTCTGTATGTGTGTGTCACGTAGGTAGCACACAGTGCGAGAGGGAACGCGGGCTATGCTGTTGGGGGAGCAGTGCAGTGCGAGAGAGCAAGCGCCAGACGGTGCGAGAGAGCGTGCGACGGGAGAGTCGGGGTTGGAGGCGTAAGGGCGAGGGAGTGCGCGCTGTGGGAGAACCGCGTTTGCGAGCGTTAGGCTAAGGTGATGGGGGTGACTCATGCGGAAGGGGAGGGGGATGGTCGTGGTTGGCGCCCATTTCGAAAACGCCAACAGCAGAATGGAGCGCGCGGCTGCGTGCGTGGCCGCCTGGTACTTACCATAGCTTATGAGCTCACGGACTTCTAAGTGATGATCCGGCTAGCCGACATCGGAACTTAAATGAGAGGCTGGACATTACAGATATTGAGGTTTTGACACTTCTGTTTGTTTGCTGCTATTTTTCGTGATGCGAACATTTCACAAAAATGCTATTATGAGCGATTCCTCAAAACCACACCCAAAACAAGACATTTGAAACTAATCCATTATAGGCTTTCAGCCTGAGCGTTCTGCCGATATTGGCTAACCTGCTCGTCAGTTTGGCGTGGTTAGCCGAGATCGGTTGTGGAAATGATAATCTATCATGAATATATCATCCAAAAGCGGAGGTACTTTCCAGTGGTTCCCTGATAATCTAATGGTAGCGGATTTGCGTGGTTTACGAGAGGTGGAAGTCAGAGTCCTGTCTGGAGGCAAGCTTAGGCCTAAAACTCAGCATTCATGTGAACCCTTCGCAGCGCGAACAACGGCATTGGAACGGCAATCATAAACGATAATTTCGAGGTCGATTATATTGAAGGAATACCACATATCACTAAATGAATGCACACTCTCCATGTTATCGCCCAATCAATACTGGAATATATGTAAAAGAATGAAAGGAGATCCATGAAATTATATAGATTCAATCGTTGCAAAGTGAGAAAGGTAGAATCCACGTTATATGAATGATGAAGTGGTTCAAGCGAGGGTGAACGAGAATGACGGAGAAAATAACATGTGATTATGTAGTTGGTGCAAGGATGATGGTGCACGCATGTGAAAGACCCGACGCCAGTGGTCCTGTCTTCCGACAGAGCCTTTTAACCCATTCGCATCCACGCGAGAGATTTTCGCTGTCTGCCCTTGGCCTGCCTGGCAGAGCGATTGCGCTAGGCAGTCACAGATGGCGTGCCACAATTGCCTCAGGGAACATCCCATTTGTTTTTTTTAGTTCTTTCTATATATCTTCTGCTGTTTACGCTAGAAACTTTTCCAACAGGGGATTTTAAAGGGTCCTGATCACGAAAATGGGATCCATTTCGGGCACGATGGGGCGCGCATGAGGCGCCAGATCTTATTAAATTCGCTGTAAACTTGTATCTAGGGGTTACTCGAGACTCTAATTACGAATATGACATTCATCCTTTCCGATAGCTCGAATTTTTCACCACTTCGGCGCCATTTGGCGCCCCTCTGGCGCGACAACTTTTTTCCGCCACATTACGGTGAAAATCTGAAAGCACTAGTTACTGATGGTCTTTATAATGAACATTATATCTATTCTTGGCGCTGGTGTTTTTAGAGCAAATTGGGAAGCTCCAACCTAAATGCAAAAATTTTGTCATTATGAGGGATTGAACCTTGGACCATTTCCTCACCTTTTTTGGCCTTCGCGGGGCTGCTCAGCGAAAATAGGACCTCGGTTTCGTAGTCTACGCATGAGCTCCCATAACATACAGAAAACCGTTTCGAAAAAGCTTTCACATCCTGAACGACCTCCCTTGTTAGTCCAGCTGCGATCCAATTAGAGCAGGAAATAGGTACCAGATGGCACCAAGGACTAGCGAATGTCATATTCGTTTCAGGGCCTCAAATAACCCTCACATACAGTCCATATCCAACGGGTTGAGGGGGAGGTCTCCACGGACGTACCAGCGCTGCGGCCGCGACAACGCGGGGATGGAAGGTTGCCGTATCCCAGTGATTGAGTGGTGTCTGAGCAATCCGTCCTGCCGTCTGCATTCCTCCGCATGCACACTATCTTAGCAGTACGACGCAGCCTTTCCGTCTGCGCTCTCGCCACGGTCGATCAATCGAAATTTATCAGCTGTTTTGAGCTGAATTCAATAAATTCTTTTAATACTGCTAATTGCACGCTTCTTTTTTACAGGTAAGTAAGTTTTAAACATGCAATATGCTTCTGCATGTTTTTGATTGGTTTTATGTCAACTATTCCCTCATTAGCAGCAATTATGCTTATTTTGTTTTTTTTTTATTTTTTCTCTTTTGATTTAACTCGTTCTTCATGATAGTGCCTGTTAAGAAGTGTTTCCGACAATAATGGAAACACATCAAAGACACCACCATGAAGAACGAGTTAAATTAAGAAAAAACACAAAATAAGAATAATTGCTACTAATGGGGCAATGGTTGACATAAAATCAATCAGAAGACATGCAGAAGCAAATTAGCATGTTTAAAACTTACTTACCTGTGAAAAAGAAGCGTGCAGTTAGCAATATTAACAGAAATTAGTTGAATTCAGCTCAAAACAGCTGATAAATTTCGATTGATCGACCGTGGCGAGAGCGCAGACGGAAAAGTGGCGAGAGCGCAGATGGAAAGGCTGCGTCGTACTGCTAAGATAGTGTGCATGCGGAGGAATGCAGACGGCAGGACGGATTGCTCAGACACCACTCAATCACTGGGATACGGCAACCTTCCATCCCCGCGTTGTCGCGGCCGCAGCGCTGGTACGTCCGTGGGACCTCCCCCTCAACCCGTTGGATAAGGGATGTACAAGTTTACAGCGAATTTTGTGAGGTTCAGTCAGGGTGCAGTCTGGCGCGAAATGGCACCGATTTGGCGCCAGCTTAAAAAAAATTTTCTACTCTTTCAGTGAATTTTTTATGTCAGGAGGTTTTTCTTCAATAAAATTCTAGTGGATAGAGATTTCCTCTGCCCAGGGGTGGCCTAGATAGATGAGGGTATGAAGATTCTTCACAGCAAAGAAAATCTCCCAGAGACCTCCTACTGTTTTCAAAAATTCCATTTGAAAGCCCGTCAGCCACCGGTGGCTGCCATTGTCGCAAATGGGTTAGAAAAACGCTCCTTAATCGAGGTGGGCGCGGAAGCTACACCAGAAGGCTCCCTCCACGGCTCCTGTTCGTTTGTGTGACGTGAGTAAAAGTGAGTGAATCACTGGAAAATTTAGGTTTCATAGATGACGTAGCATTCTTCCTTCTCAACTGCTGAAGCTTAAATTGCTACTCTAACTCTTGCTGTAAAAATGTGAGCGACGTCGAGTTTTGATTCTTAAGACCCTTGTAATCTGATGAAAGTCATTTTGTCATGGTCATCAAATCAAAGGCTCTATTTTTTTATTTACTGGAACAGTATTCGAATTGTGAAGTTAACGAAGTACACACATTAGCCTTGAAGCAATCTGTTTTAGGCATTCATGACGGCTTCATTGCCAGGAAACATCCTGGGTAATACGACCATACGCAATTCCTTCCATATCATCGTCACGCATTTCACGTATCTCCTTCTTGTGTATATTTTGTATGGCATTCCTAGCCTGCTTGTAACGCTGAGAATTGTCCGAACGATTCTCTCGCCAAAGTTTAGAAGCTTCTTCAGAAAGCCTTTCTTCTTTCTGTTCACCAACAACTGCATTGTGGTGAGTGAGGATTCAAGACTAGGCCACCACAAAAGATCTGATGGGTCAACCGGGGACACAGCGGGTTATGGAAATACAGCAGTAAGGTTCTCAAAGAATTCGTCCAGAGTAAGCTTATTAGTTTCTGTTGAGTACATCACAGTCCCCACGAGTTTCGAGACGGCAAGGTAGCAAGAATGAATTGCCAATCTTGTCGGACATGTTATATAGTTTAACAATGTTATAACTATTGCATTGTTATGATGTTTCCTGCAGCAGACGCTTTATTTTCGGTTAATTAATTTTTGACTGTTTTTAAATGTGCTATATCTGAACTGAGTATACCACTTAGTAGTTCACCTTTCCTCATTTAATTGTGAAGGCTGAAGCGTGACAAGTTTCAGGGTATGATTTTCTTTATGGTAGATTTTTTCACGATAAGAGTGCCAGCCTCGGGACTGATCACTGGCTGGTTGACAACGCTTCCACCTGGCCGATATATCACTGCAATCTACGCTCTAGAATTCTATTTGTTATACATCACCCTATATTCAGTGACCTTCCTGTCGATTACGAGAGCCATTATTATTTGCTTACCTATGGAAGGCACCAAGGTAATGAAATTAAGGCGACAACTATCTTTTATTTTAATCAACTAAAATTGGTAGCGGAAAAGTCAAAAAATGCAGAGGTTTTCTCCTCCTACGCCTATATGAATCTATAAAATTAAGAGAGGGAGTTGGTGGAAGTGAGCCTTGCGTTGTTTTGATGAATAAGGTTTCTCGAATACGAGAACGAATAACCACAGTGACAGAAATTTATGGCTGCTTGTGTGGGAGCTTACATGTTTATTAAATTCCTTTTATTAACAAAACGTAGAGACTTTTTTTGTGACCGGCTAGCTTAAACGCCTGAGCTTTGCGAACAATAAAATTTTCTACAGCAGCGGTGCAGAGGAATGAAACTTTGTCTCCTCTGGTGGGTTTCGACCTGGAGTCTGGGATATCTTTATTTTATATGTCTGCCCTTACTGTATAATGGGCTATGTTCGTCTGTCTGTCCGTCTGTTACAAAATTCGGTATTAGCTAAGAACCACCTAAAGAGTCGCGCAAATTGGGGATGGGGGATGGGACAACGGTCAAGAAGTGCGAAATACATTTCATGCAAGATAAGCTCCGACCACAGTGGGTGGGGCAAGCTTCGAATCGGGTGGTGCTGATTAGAAAAGTTTCGAATTTGGTTTCATAACAGTCCGAAGATCGGGAAAAAATGGTTAAGGTGCGGAATATGGGAGACCTGCGTAGGTGGGTAGAACATTCTCTAAGATGAACTGTGCTAACATAAAAACCCGTAACTCAGTTAGGGGAAAGCCCATGTTCATCATTAAAGGAGGGCAATATCTAGGACCAATTTATCCTCACGCTACCGCGCGCATGGCAATATAGGCTTCGGTGAAACTGGCAGTCGGTGGAGCGTTAGGTTCCACCGGTAAGAAATAAGTTGCTTCGTGAAATGCGTTAGCTGACTGTCCGCTTGATACGCGCGGTGGAGTACGGAGCTAAAGTGATGTCTGTAAACAACCACCATGCATCGAATGTCAAAACAATTTGGCGGTCGAACAATTTTTGATGCTATGATGTTGAAGAAATACCCAGTACTCGTTACCATGTTCCTCAAACATCCATCGCACTTTTGGTACTCGGAGAACGTAATGGTAATTTGGGCTGAAGACGACAACGCAAATGAGTGTTATTGAAAGGAATTGCGTTATCTCAAATCTGTTTTTGAGCAACCTCTACAATCTTACGCATATCGTTGTTATCAACTCTTATCAGTCGTTATCACTTTCTGTCCCCACCAAATATGTTCCCGTCCCACCCCCTACAACATACTCAAAATACAGCGCTCCACTGTTGCAGCGAAGCGCGCTATGAATTTCGTGACAAACAGACGTACACACATACGCACACAGACATACTTAGCGAATTATATATAGTATGGTAAAGCCTTGTTGGCTCAAGTGGTTAACAAGACATGCAGTGAGCGAGTACTCATAGCACACAATCTTGGTATCCGCATGAAATGCGCCATCGAGTGTTTGTTGACCTCATAGATTAAAACCTGGCCGCTTTCAAAATGCTGAATTTCTCTTGTGTAGATCTCCGATGGGAAAGAGCGTAGTCTTACTACGGTACCAAGGAATGGTGCAACAGGATACTTATCAACGGTCCGCCAGCACCTCTTTTTAAAAGTGAACACATTGTGTCGGAACAAAAGACCAGGAAGATTTTATTCCACAACCTGATCTTTCGCTCCCTATTTCTAATTTAACATTTTTACTCAGCGGACAAATCCACACATTTCTGGGAGTTCTTAATCCTACATGGTAAATTTGTAGCATATTTCCGTATTGAATCGTTTCACGAAATTTTATCCTTATACTCTTAAAATCGCGAGAGGAGAAGGAGGTCTGGGGGGGGGCGTCTCATTATGTATGGCTGATACTGAAACCTTTCCAGGTAATCAAGAGATGTCTAACTTTTTTCTTCTTGACTATCTACTTGCTGCCAGTACTGACTACGTGGTTCCTCTATCCAGCAACCGCATATATAAGAATAGCACCACAAATCCCACATTTGGGTTATGGAGCAACTTTTGACTACGAAAAAAGTTTTCCGCACGTTGGTATTTCTTTGTTTTTTTCTCATTTCCATGTCTTGGTAACCCTCACTTTCCCGGCTGACCTTTTAGCTCATCGTTCCGAAGACATTGCCATTCGTTGTATAAGTATAAGTGTGAAGTTGCAATTCACCGAAAAGGTCATTTAGCCAGGCCAGCTAATTGAAATGTGATCTATATGGCTATACGCATCTTGAAATGCTGAATTCAAATTCGCTTTCCTTGTCTGCACAGCTCTTCTCTGAAAGGAATTATTAAGCAGAAAAGCGCAGTGCTAGTAGTCTAGACTCTGAGGCAAGAAATGGTGGTACGTCCCTGGAGAGTTTTCTGTCTGGCAAGTTTAATGTTCCAGCTAGATTGTCAGATGGATTCCTAAAACAATGGTCCAATGTGATTGCGTACAGCTCTGTTCAAACAATTTAACGGCAGTTAATAACGAATTTGGGCAGCATTCGTTCCTGACAATTCTAGGCGCCCGCAACGCAGACTTCGGGCGCCCTTGCGCTGAACAAGTGTGAGAAAGTCGGGCTCTCTCTTCGGGCACTTCTGACCAAATCTGAAATTTGCACCTATCCTTGTTGGTCAGTCACTTGCTCATGTACTATCAACGCCTTACAAGATGGTGTAGGGCTGGAATAAAACTTCTGATCATAGTTCAGAAAAAACAAAAATAATGCCTGGCTTAGCCCGCATCATCCCAGTATCTGCAAGGTATTTCCGAATACCCCTTTCCCCGCTCCCCCGTCGTCCATGAGTTGTCATTACTACAATTGCAGTTTCGGAACTGGTACTCCCATGACTGCTTTACCAACAAGGTCATACCCTCAGGTTCGGCTAATAACTCGTCTTTAGAAGTGTTTGATCTTCTTAACACGAATATCGTACCTATACGCCATGGAAAAGCCTAGCACCTGCACTACGGGCACCATGAGCACCCGTGGGCAAATAAAGCATCAACTTAAGGATCTTCTCGCAAACACTTCATAAATGTGGCTTCCGGCGACCGTTAATATAACAACGTTGTCAAAGGTTTTTTTGCTGTGTTGAAGAAAAACCAAACACCAAGCTCAGCGGAAGGAGCCGATTCCGTAGCCGCTTGCTTCACAAGCACGACCGCTACCATCTGCGCCATCAAAACTCTCGTCGGTTCTTTGTGATGTTTATAATGGAGCCTACATGTTATTGCACTGAAAAATAGAAGCGGCTAAGGAAGCAATCCTTGACTGCTTTTAGATAAAGATTCAAAGTTAATGGAAGCCGTCTATTATACGTACCCTAAGCTTCCGAAGGTACGTATAGAAATGTACACATCATTAAATTTGCAGGGTTGACCAAGTTCCTGATCAGTTGCAATCGCAATTGCAAATCGAATTTATTGAAGAATGCAGAGTACCTACTTTGATGGAATACGATTGTTGCAGTGGAGGAACAGTATTTGCGTTGTGCTTTCTACCTGTGCCTGTTCCATCGTCTCTTTGGTGTGCTACGGAGCAGTAATAATAAAGATACGTCACACTACCAAAAGGTATTATACTGTTCACCATCGATGTATTTTTTTACTTTGCTCTCTTGCACCTTTCCCTTCACTGCTGAAATCAGCATCCATCTGGGACAGCCTGTGGCCTCAGCAGCTAGTTACCAAGTGACTATGAGCTCGTGGTAACATAGTGAAGGATCCATCCAAAGTATCCTAATACATGCGTAGAAGAAGGAGGGCTCCCTACTGCAGTGGTTGCGATACCGCTCATGGCACCGAAAGTTTAAATGTGTGACGCAAGTTTTGCAGGCAACGTGGTGGATGCTCACCACTTCCACCATGGCAAATTGCCAATGGCTCAATGGGAACGTTCCACGCTGCCGCTGGCAAGGTTGCTGGATCACACCGCTTGAAGTCTAAGATTTGCAAACAACATCCGTTGCTTACCTGTTGTCAAGATCTCTTCCGATGCTGTGATCGAGTGATCCCTGGTGCACTGGCAAAAAATTGACTATGAGTTCTTACATCCAGGGTTCAAGTCCGAGAGTGGAGCAAGTTTTGCAGCCAGTGTGGCGAAAGCTGGCACTTTCAAGCAGGCTCATGTCCATTTTTCCGCGTTCCTTGCTTCTCGTCCATAGGGAAAAATCACCACATGTGGCTGCAAGTATAGGGTACTTCACTACCGTCGCTAATCAAGATTCAGAACAATCCGAACGCACGACCCAGAATCCCCTCTACTAGCGTAAAACTTCAAATATATTGCTCTTTTCGTAATCAAGGCTTTATACCAGTTATAGTCGAGCTCTTCGGAATTCTTGGCCTAGCTTTGTTTTGCTTTATTTTCCGATAAGACGCCCCAAAGAAATGATAGCGTTGCTGGCTGGCATCAGACGGAGCACTGATACTTGTTACTTTCTTTTCAGTCGTAATAATCGAAGTACTGCGATGGTGAAAGCCGAACGGTCGCTGTCATTTCTTACCTTCACCGATTGTATTTGCATGATCACTCTCGCATTCACAAATGTGAGTTTTTTTTTCAGAAGTCGGAGTCATGATGAGCTTTACGATGATTGAAACAGAAGGTGAACACTAATTTGTAAAAAGCATTAACCGCGCGCAAAGTGATATGTAATAACTTCTGGCTGAATAGCTAAGGTTTATAGAAGTATTCGGGAACGAAAGTTTTTCATGTGTCTCGAACGCGAAATTAATCGAGAATCATCCTTTGAAGCAACTTACGATAAGCGTCAACAATCGCGATCTTGTCAGCGATTCGCTCTGTGGGCTGGCTTAACGATATTCAAAGGGTTATTCTTGATGCTTGTTTTTAATGGAAAAAAGTGAAGTCAAGCTAATGAAGCGAATCGAAGAGCACTTTCAATATGCTTTAGACTCGTATCATGTGTATAAATAGGTATGGCGATTATATGAATGTGAATATTGCATTGATAAGAGTTGGTATCATTACAGTTGTGCTTCCTGCTTTATTACGACGTCAACTTGGTGTTTACACTACGACCGTTTCAACAAGATTTGCTCTTATTCTTGCCAATATGGGTTCTGTACTTCACACATCCGGTATTCAAAAGAAGCATCACAAATTCTACACCGGTCAATGTCGTCGTCTCCAGTTTTCAAACTTTAAAACGAAAATCTTTGAACGCCGCATCAGCTGCCGCCCAATGAAACACGAGGATTCCGTTATCATCATGGTGTGATAATATGATGTTGCGTCACAAATGAGTACCTATTTGCTCTGAGTGATTAGAGCTGTCAGGATCGATTTTCGCACCAGGATGTCTGTACAATTATAGGCGAAGGCATGTATGTATATAGTGCGTTTCAGGATTATAAGGTCACCCTAAAATTACATTTCCGGAACAAGCAGAGGACCGAGATTTTTTTAGTATCACCAGCTGAATCCTTACGATGAATACCCTGCATTGCGCTTCCGGCAAGAGGAGCATTTCTTCTGACTTTTGTATGATTAGTATTTGTTGGCTTTTGTACCGTCTCATAATTATAAGAC